CTCCACCCTGGTGACCACGCCTTTGCACCTGGGTCTTTGAACACCAAAACTATAGCAAAAGTCTAGGGAAATCAGCTAATTCATTAAACTTGCTAGAAATTGCATGTGAAAAATGGGGGTTTTCAGAGGCAAGCCCAGCATTAGGGAGGGGGCATCGTCCTTACCTGTGTCCTGATTCCCGACTCTTGTCTTTTTTTTTGCCTGTCTTGTCAAGGTCTTTATCAAACCAGGCTTATAGGAAATACAAGGGAAGGAGAGAAGTCAAACGTGCTTTGAAGTCATAATAACTGGTTGTCAGAGCAGGGACAAGGGGTGGTTCGAAGGAAGGAGAAGAGCAACCAAGGAGGGTGGAAAAGTGCAAGTTCTCCCTGAGAAAGGGCTCTGCACACACCTGTGGTTGCTGGTCTAGGAAAGGGGCTGGGAAGAGGAAAGGTGAGCAGTCTCTTGGTTCTCTGAGGTTACTTCTGTGACAACGTTGGACTCTGATGCTTATAATCAAATATCCCAGCACATCCCTAGGTGGGGCTTCAGATAACTAGGTTTAAGGATGATTGCTTTCTCTTGAAGTTCATAAATTGCCCTCAAGTAGAACTTAAGGATTTATTGTTGTGGTGGTAAACACATGTGACATAAGGTGACCCTTGTAATCATACCTAAGCCCACGATTCAGCGACATTCAGTACATTCACATTGTTCTACCACCTTTACCTCTATCCAGCTCCAGGATTTTCTCATGGTTTTAAAGGGAAACTCTGCTCCCATTAAACAATGACTCCCTGTCCCCACTCCCCTTAGACCCTCATTACCACTATGGTACTTTCTGCCTCAGTGATGTTGACTCTCAAGGTACCTCATATAAGTGGAATAATGTAATGTTCATCCACTTGTGCCTGGCTTATTTCACTTAGCATAATGTCTTCAGAGTTCACCATGAATGAATCAGAACTTCTTTCCTTCTTAAGGCTGAATAATGGTCCATCATATGGAAATAGCACATTTTTTTTTTTTATCCGTTCATCCATGGATGGGTTGCTTTCACTTTGACTGTTGGAAATAATGTTGCTACGAAGATGTGTGTGCAAAACATCTCTTCATGCCTCTGCTTTCAATTCTTTTGGATTTATACCCCAGAACTGGAATTGATGGATCATATATTTTGTGTTTAATTATTTGAGAAAAATACTCAAGGGATTTCAACCCTACTAATCTGTGGAACAAAAGGAGCTTTCATTTATTTCTTTAAGCCACGTGATGTGTGGGTAGGCATCCGATAAATGGAAATGAAAGGAAGGAGGCTCTTCCTCTTAAGAGACATGGGGGTTTAAGATAAAGAACAGATCCAACAGTTATGTAAACAATTAGCGCTTAAAGGCTGCGTTCAGTTCCTTAAGAAGGTACGTGTGGGGTGCTCTGGGAGCACATTCTACTAACAGTGTTTTTCTAGTGTTCCTGAAGATGCAGTCTTCTTTAAGATGTCCTTTAAGACGGTGTTCTACAAGTCCTAGTTAAGAGTGGAGCACGCAGTGCAGAAGTTACAGTGTGCAAGTTTTTGAAATAAATTTGGTTTTGCAGTAACTAACTCAATCCATCTGCTTTTTTTTTTTTTTTCTTATGACCTAAATGTCTCTTCTTGTCTCTTCTTCCAGTGGTTTTTAATCGCCAACAGATCTTACAAAGTCAGTGTGGCAAGTTCCTTTTTCTTCAGTGGGGTGTTTGTGGGCGTGATCTCTTTTGGTCAGCTTTCAGATCGCTACGGAAGGAAAAAAGTCTATCTCACAGGTAATCTATCAGTGTTCATGAAATGAATAAGAGGATGGGTTTCCCGGAGACTCTTAGGGAAATTAAAAGGAGGCTGGTTTCTCAGAGTTCTCAGGGCATTGACATGGGGACACAGATTGTATGTTTGTTTTTTTTTTTAAAGAGACAGCGAGAGAGATAGAGAGAATTTTAATATTTTATTTTTTAGCTATCGGCAGACACAACATCTTTGTTTGTATGTGGTGCTGAGGATCGAACCCGGGCCGCACGCATGCCAGGCGAGTGCACTACCGCTTGAGCCACATCCCCAGCCCAGATTGTATGTTTATTATACTGGCAAAAGACCAACCTGCAAGCAGAGTGAGTTCTGGCTTGTCAGTGACTAACCCCCCTGGTTGAGCCTAGGTATTAGCGTTAAAAACTTTTGTGGGTGATGTGTTTCTCTGCAACCCCCAAATTGCAATGGAAGCCATATTTCTAAAAGGAGCAGTGAAAGATTTGAGGGAGTCTTCCATATCCATTTCCTCATATCTCCATCTGTTGATTCATTTCAAATGAGCTCTACAGGACTTGGCATAGTCTCTCAACGAGCTGAGTATAAGCAAGTATTTTTAATTTCTAGCATTTTTTTTTAAATTTAAAAAATTTTTAAAAATAAAAAAAAATTTCTAACATTTATTATGAATAATTGAAAACTGTGTGTGATTGACAGAAATTGTGTCACCAAGCCAGTAAACCTCTGTATTTTTTTTTCCTGTCGTTTTCAAGAGAAACTGTTGGGAAAAAAACATGGCTCAGAAAATTTAAGTTTACAATGGATTACTTTACAGACTAATGGATATAATTTATTACTTTCATCAAATGCTATTTTGCCTCTGAATCATTGAATATTATTCCTTTTTTTCCTAGGTTTTGCTCTTGACATCTTATTTGCTATCGCAAATGGATTTTCCCCTTCATACGAGTTCTTTGCAATAACTCGATTCTTGGTGGGCATGATGAATGGAGGGATGTCGCTGGTGGCCTTTGTCTTGCTAAATGAATGTGTGGGCACCGCCTACTGGGCACTTGCAGGTACTGCTTAAATCCTTGCAGATCCGAATGTGGTGAGTTGCCCTGCAAAACCTTGCAGAGAACTAGTTTAACCCTAGAGTCTGAAAATGCATTTGGACTTGAGGCACTTAATCCAACTACAGGTTGAGTAGCCCTGATCCAGAATGCTTGGGACCAGAAGTGTTTCAGACTTTTTCAGATTTAGTGATATTTTTGTATTTATAATGAAACATGTTGGGAATGGAACGCAAAGTCTAAGCACAAAGTTAATTCATATTATACTTTATATTCATAGCTGAAGGCGATTTTGTTCAATATTTTGAGCATGTCTGCATTTTGACTGTGACTCCTCATGGGAGATCAGGTGTGGCAGGTATCATGTCAGTGCTCCAAAACTTTTGGATTTTGCAGTATTTTGGATTTTGGATTTCCAGATGAGGAATGCTCAATCTGTATTAAATTTGATTTCCTGAATTTGTTTTGTATAACATCAGATGAGTCATTTTATTCATATTCCTTGGTAAAATGTCTCTCCAGGGCTTGTACCACAGATGGTGACCTTGGTACTCAACTCACAGCCCGTCTGCATTTTGTTGTGGAGAGTGCTCAGAACAGCATAAAATGCTATTTAGCTTAAAATGGGATATAATGCAGAGATAGAAAGTACTAGAACTTCTTTTCTTGAAGCCTTCTTATTGTATTTTATTAAATCCTATTTCGTAGCCTTTCTCATTTTTACTGTTCTCTTCAAATCAATAAATGATATTGTTATAGAATTTCTTTAGTAAAAAAAATCGAAAAATGAGGTTCTATTCAGTTTTATTTTTAACAATTCCATCATTTCCTCAAGAACTAATATAGAGTTAAAAAATGATTTTAAAGGATTTTTTTTTTTTTACTTAAAATATAGTCTTGGATAGTGTCTAAGACTCTACTTTTTGGATTATAGGTTCACAGTGATACCTCTTTGCTTGTTTCACTTTCACTTACTTGACAATCACTAAGTACCACTGATATTCATAAACTGATACTGGAAACGAGTTGACCCTGTGACTCACAGCAGTGTTTCTAAGTGAGGATGTCTTGAGAGAATGCCATTGTCGCTCCTTAGAACTCACATGCAGTGCCACCTTCCATTTGTTGAGTGCCTGTTACAGCCAGGAGCCACCCTAGGCATTTGACATGCATCTGTAATATTTCCAGATCTTACCAATTAAGAATTTCTACCTCCATTTAACGCTTTCGGTTCCACCTTGTCTGTAGCAGCTGCCAGAGTGTACTTATCCCCTAACCCAGCTCCTAAGCTAGGACCAGTGGGAAACTTTCCTCTGAGTTTTCCATTTGTATTGAGTCATTAATGTCATGGGGGGGTGTGAGGGATAAGTGAAGATTGAACCCAGGGCTTTGGCCTGCTGAGCAAATACTCTACCAGTGAGTTGTAACTCCAGCCCTAATGGCATCTTTCTAAATAGTAAGGTCAGACTAATTCCAAGGAACTAGTAAAGGGATTGCAGCTGTATGCAGGGCAGGAACAAGGGCACTGTCTCTGGTTTGGGCTGTCCCAGGGCCCAGGGTCTAGTGCTTGCTCACCTAGAGCATCACGTTTGACACCATGTTTGTCACATGCCTTGTACATTGCTCTGAGAAGAATCACATTTAACTTGAGCTGTTCCATGAAGATGTTCTTGTGTGAAAGACATATTCTGCCCTCCCCCTGCCAGATTATCTGATTATTCCTGTCCTGTTGCCTATGTTGGGCAAAAGGAAAGACCTCCTGGACTCTCGTTTCCATGACAGTCACCTAACACCCTTGAAAAAAATTCATAACGAAGTGCTTTCACCTCTCATTCTTTTCCTTGAAGCAGGGTTAAGATGAGGCAATTAAAATTTTTGTAGCAAAGGAAAAAGGAAGGGAAAAAATAAAAATAAAAATAAAAAAAAAACTGTAACAGTGGAGCCAGATGGTTGCCAAATTCAATGTGAAATTCAGAGTGTGACAGAGTTCCCTGGAGGCCAGGACTGGGACCTGCACCCAGGACAAAAGGAAGGCTCATCTAATGGAGCCCGGAATGCTTTTGTGTACAGCTTCCTTTTTCTCCCATGAACCAATGTCTTCCCCAGAATTTTATCCTGGACCCTTCTTTTCAAGTTGGTTTCTCTCCAGCACAACCTTACACACCCCTGTGACTTCAAATATGCTCATGAACTGCAAGACATTGGAAAAATCGGTTAGAAAAATCAATGCTTGATAGCTAAATAGTATTTTTTAGTATGTATAAAATAGCGTGTAAAGTATCTACAAAGAAGGCACAAGTACAAACTGAAGGAATCCATTTCTGATCGGTGTTGAACAGCCTACGAAGAAGGAAACTATCGATCACGGTAGTTACTGAGATTGAAATACGAAGTCAAGTGCTAAAGCTTATGAAAAGCCCATGCTAGAACGTTGGTTATTTGTTTTCTTAATAACTTCTCAGAACAAAGAGAATAGATCCACACAGCAAATGTAAAGAATACTACGGTCCCACCTGCCCACCGACGACGGTGGCTCACATTTTGCTGAGTGTCCTTCTGGAGCTCTTCCTGTGCCCATCCATTCCACAACACTCACTTATGAAACAGACCCTGCCACATGTCAGACCCAGCTTTTTAGAGCATTTTAGATCAAATGGGTGGACCAGATAGAGGGTAGGTGGGAGAAGGTCCTGGCGGTTATGAACCTGATCCTGTGATTCGGAGGCAATTTCAGATAACTCTAAGGACAGTGAAGGACGTTAAACAGGGTAATGGGCTAGACAGAATTGGGGGACTACCTACGTGAAATACGATGGTTAGAGAAAACCTCTCGTAGGAGTTTGATCTAAGATGTATGATGAGGAAGCCCTGGACACGCGAAAGTCAAAAGAAGAACATTCCCGCCAAATGGAGTGGCAAGAACCATGGCCAGAGGCAGGAAGGAGATTGTTGGGGGGTCTGAAGAATGCCTGGAGCTGCAGTGTGGAGAAGTAGGGGGTGGACAGGAGTGAAGTGAGGCTTGGGGGGCACCAAGGGCCTGTGACCTAGGGCCTGTGGTTGGCCAAATGAGGATTTTTTTTTAACTCAAGGCACAGCCAGAAGCCAGCAGGGTGTATTAAACAGAGTAGTGATAGGCTCTAAGGTACTGGAAGGCTACTGTGGTAGGCGTGTGAAGAATGAACGAAAGGGGAAACGAGGGGAAGTAGAAATTGAGGGATCCCCTAGGAGGCTGCGTTGTTGACCGTGTAAAACAGTGACTCCAGGAGATGTGAGCCCTGGAGGAGGAGGAAGAGGGGCATCTGAGCTGGAGTTGGGTGGGACATGACGTTCCTGAAGGTTTCACAGAGATGAGACAGAGAGACTCAGGGGGACCTCAGAGTTTGTGTCTGGAAACTGGGAGGGTCCTTGGTGCCATTTACCAAATGAAGTCCCATCTATTTTCTAACCTGCCCAAATGAGCTCTTGCTGAGTCGAAATTGAGCAGGAGTGGCAGACTTGAAATTAATTAGAAGCCAGCAGAAAAGAAATCTGGAAAGTGTGCATCAATACCCCAAGGTCCAGGGATAGTCACCTAACCACCCTTGGTGCTCCAAAACTGTCATGTGCAAAAGTGGCAATGTGAAATGTTTGTTTTTAAAATGTTAATCATTTGAACGAAGTAGCGGAGAGTTTCATTACATCTTCAGCTCCACACCTTGTCTCCACTGTCATTTCCAAGCACACACGGGTAGCTTCTTGCTAGACATCAGATGCGACTGTCTGTTGTCCCTAAGACCTATTGTTTTTCATGTAAAATCAACACTGTCTTTCCGGAATCTCTGCCTGGGGTCATGTCGTCACAGTATTTAAGGCCACCAGCTAGATACCTTTGAATATCATTTCCTCTTGTTTGTCATATCCAGTTGATGCCAGTTCTTACTGACTGTGACAGAGACTCAAATCGTAAGAACCTGTGTATGGAGGGAAATCATTTGATTAACCACCAAGCCTTGGAGCCAGGCCTTGGAGATGCTTGGAACCAGGAAGTGAGAGGCTTCTCACCTCTGCTCCTTATCGTCTCTGGAAGCTTCCTCTGCTCAGTCAGAGATGGGCCCCAGCAGTTCCAAGTCCAGTATTTAAAATCCTGGGTAAGAGCTCCGACTGGTCCAGCTGGGGTCACCCTGCACTAGGGTGACCCTGACTGGCAGCACCACAGTGGAGATGAAGTAACAGGATCAGTTCTCCAATAAAGTGAGGTGGAATTAGAAATGAGAGCTAGATAGAAAATATTCAAAGCCAGGTGTGGTGGTTCAGGCCTGCAATACTAGCAGCTCCAGAGGCTGAGGCAGGAGGATCACAAATTTGTCGAACATGTATAATTTCATCTGCAATGAACAAAAACTACCATTTTTGTTAGGTATTATTATTTATATCTTAACAATGAGGAAACCTAGGCTCAGAGACATTTAGTGATTTGTCCAAAGTCACACAGGAATAGTGGCAAAATTAGGGTCCAAATTTGGTTCCTCTGAAAACATCCCATGCCTTGGACTGTCTTCCTTTTGCCGACATTGTTGTGAGTGGGGACTGCGTGCTCAGGACCATTCTGAGCAATGACAAGAAGCCTTGTTGTTGGGAGCCAGGTGCTCTTTGATGCACTGTAATGAACCTGTAATAGGTATTGATTGTCTTAAATTTCCAGGGAAATAACACTGTCGCCATTCCCTTACTCACTGGAGTTTGAGCACACTGCACAGACTAGCACATTAGCTCTTCTTTGTGGCTCTCTCTTTTCCTTGCTCAGGCAAACAGTATAGAAGTCAGTGTTTTTTTGTTTTCATGATGAACTATGGACAGAAATCAAAGAAAACATTTGTTTTACAGGATTCTTGATGAAATTTTTGTAATACGCTCAGCAAAGCCCTGTGGCTACAGATGCCCACAGAAGTTATTTTTCCGTAGAAGGGAGACAGGAGAGAGGAATGGTATACAAAATGCAGAACCACCATCCAGACAGACCTGGGTACAAGTCCTGGCCATGCCATACTCAGCCCTCTGTTCCTGGACAGTTTCCCTGAACCTCTCCGAGCTACTTTCTCGGGTTAATAATTATACCTGCTTTGTAAAACAATATATGCAAGACCATTAATGTTCAATAAATAGCAGCTCAATAAATAACTAACAGTGATAAAAGCAGTTAGAAAAGGTACATCAGAGATATAGATTTTGTGAGAATATTGGACAAGCCGGCACATTTAATACCCACCTCAATACTCATTTCAAAAAACATATAAGATTTTTAAAAAATTCTCTCGCTGGTATTTTTTTATGTTCTGGTCGGTAGAGGCAGATAAGAAACAAATAAATACAAACTGTCATGCATCTGATGGTGATGAGTTAAGTAGGGAAGGGTGATGAAAGAATAGGGCACCAGGCTCTGGTTTAAGACAGGGACTTCAAGGGCATCCTCTGTGATAAAGATGAAGGCCCAGCATTACAGTCACCATGTGGCCTAAAAACCCGATCACCCACACACCGCCAAGACTCCGCCAGAGGCTCAGGAGGATGTCAGCGCAACTCCCAATACCAAAAACATTTGGCCAAACCCTTAGAACTCATCCTGTGTACATACAGTCTGTGTTCCTCTCTCCTTCCTCCATTTCCACTCATTTTCTGGCCTCCCTTTTTACCTTTTATCCTCTGAGGCTGAACATTGGTATTGGTTTTTCTCTTCTTCTGTGCCTCTCACACTTTTCAGGCAAGGGCTGTCATCTCATGAGTTCAGTTGGCTCTGGGACTTGGGGTTGGAAATGGGACTGCGGACCGTGCTTTCTCTGGTGACCTTTCTCTTTTCCCTGCCTTAGGATCCATTGGCGGCCTCTTCTTTGCCGTGGGCATCGCCCAGTATGCTCTGTTAGGATACTTCATCCGCTCCTGGAGAACCCTAGCCGTCCTGGTGAACCTGCAGGGGACAGTGGTCTTCCTCTTATCTCTGTAAGTAGCTCTTCTTCCCAAGAGTTTTAATCCAGTGAGCAGAAGGGATGTCAAAGAGGATGCAGGCCAGCGCTTGGCGTGCACTGACTTTGGGGGAGAACTGACCTCGGCAGGTGATCCACTCCTTGGCCGCTCCTGGGATGAGAGATGGATGCCGCTTAGTTAGTTCAGAATGCAGGTACCTCTGTTTTAGATAACCACTCAACATGCTGCCTTTAAACTTCAGATTGTTGACATAGGGTACCAGTTTTGTTTTTTTTTTTAACTCAATGCCTCAAGCTTAAAGATCTTCAGGCTGGATCAGACCATGGGCTAGGAGTGGCCCTGAGGTATGATATTGTGAGCCAAGTGTTCAAGTTGAATGTGTTTGCTAAGTGAACTAAGCCAGTCCCCCCCAAACCAAAGGCCAAATGTTATCTCTGAGATGCAGATGCTGACTCAAAACAAGGGAGAGGAGGGCAGCATAGAAGTTCAATGGATTAGATAAAGGGGAATGAAGGGAAGGGAGGGGGAGGGGAATAGAAAAGACAGTAGAATGAATCGGACATAACTCTCCTGTGTTCATATGTGAATACACAACCGGTGTGACTCCTCATCGTGTGCAACCACAAGAATGGGATCCTAATTAGAATAAGTTATACTCCATGTATGTATGATAGGCCAAAATGCACTCTACCCTCATGTGTATCTAATAAGAACAATTACAAAAAAAAAAAATGTGGGGGAAAAAATTGTGTAGTAGCAACTGTTTAACCTGAAGATGAGTCTCATTTCAGGGTCCCTAATGTGCACTCTGGAAGAGTCACAGACGTGGGGGATGCCCTTAGGGTGCAGAGCAGTACAAGGCTGGCTCCCTGGTCAGGGTGGGTTCTATAAATAATGGCCCAAAGTGTCACACTGTGACAGTGGTGGGCCACCCACGTTAGCCCATTTCATCAGAAGTTTCAGTGTGTCCTATCAAAGGTCTTTCCCACCTGAGGGGTCCAGTTTCTAAGTTTACTCATTAAAATCCTTGGCATGAACGAGATTTTCATCCCATGGTACCAGCTTTCTTCTGTACCATAGACGAGAGAGAGAGAGAGAGAGAGAGAGAGAGAGAGAGAGAGAGAGAGAGAGAGAGAGAGAGAGAGAGAGAGAGAGAGAGAGCGCGAACAGTGGTAATATTTTAATTCAGGTGGCTCTTTCATTTAGTAACTCTGCACCCTGGTTCTAAGTTGACCTTTAATGGGAATCCAACTAAAATTTGCTCTCATATGCAGTAGTCATCGTTAACCTGGACTAAAGAAACAACATTCATGAAAATTATGTATTTATGTGAATTAGAGTGAGGTAATTTTATTAGAAAGGGAAACCCAGCAGTATTTTATTAGCTTATATATTATACATCTTTGAAAAACAATAAGTGGGTGCCTACTACAGTACGTTGATTTAGTAAGAACTCACGTAAATATTTATGAATGCATGTGCTTTCAGCTGTAGAAGCTCAGGCTTCCCCATGCAGTCTGGCTCTCTCCTCCAACAGTCGTGTGAATTCCATGGATAATCTACACCATTCTGCTCTTGTTTGTCTGAGTGAATAGTCTGAGGTGGTTTTTGCTAGTGCTAGGTAGGGGTATCTCCTCACCGGAAAATAAATTCAGGTCGAGAGCAGTAGAAAACAGAGGGAGGAAGACGCATGCAATTAGATATCGACTTACTCCGTCAATCCTGGAGCACCAGGCGTCCCACCGATGGCCTCCCGTGTGTTTCCCGTCTTTCTTTCCTGAATTCCCCAGCGCATAACCCCGTCTCTTCAGGGGCCTCTTATTTCTGCCTCCTGCTGGAGCCCTGCCTCTCTGAACCAGGAGACCTCAGACAGAAGCAGGCTCAGCTCCACAGTGCATTTCCCCCAGCCCCAGAGCCCAGGGCCTTCCACTCAGTACAACCTTCCTGTCCATCGGACAGACACAGGCACAAAGATATCCATAATGACTTTCACAATTGGCCGTCATCAACATTATTTTAGAATCATATGTTGCTTGTTTACCAGAAACATTTCCTTAACATTTCCTTATTTTGCTGGGCACCGTGGCGCAAGCCTGTAATCTCAGCGGGCTTGGGAGGCTGAGGCAGGAGGATCACAAATTCAAAGTCAGCCTCAGCAATGGCGAGGCACTAAGCAACTTGGTGAGACCCTGTCTCTAAATAAAATATAAAATAGGGCTGGGGATGTGGCTCAGTCAGTGTCCAAGTGCCCCTGAGTTCAATTCCTGGTTGAAAAAAAAAATTATTTCCTTATTTTAAAAATATTTGAATCTAAGTAATTTTATTTTTTGCTGAAAATGGGTGCCTTCTTAATTTACAAAGATTTGCCATCTTGAAAGATAGTCACAGAACATTTTTTGAACAAAAGGAACATTGCTGCATTAGCCTTTTAACTTTCCAGTGTGACCATGGCACAGGTGACCATGCCATCAGGAAGAGGGCAGTATGTCCAAAGATCTGCTTTTCCTTTTAAAAACATGTCTTACTGTTTTGTTTGTATAATCTGCATGTGTCCAAGCTCATACTCTCAAATATGTCCACAGCAAGGCAGTGACCCTTCGAAAAAGTGAGCTACTGGCCTCTGAAAATGCAGAGAAATATAAAGTACTAAATTTACAACCATCAAGATAAGATTTTCCAAGTAGAAATAGTTTTGTTAACTCAGAGTTAAATTTCCAAAGCCTGAATGACTCACACATGTTATCTTCAAAAATGCTTCTTATACTTTTAAAAGTAATTTCTTATTGTTTATAAACAATTCCGAAAATACAGAGAGGCATGGAGGAGAGGATGACTTACATTCCCCAAAGATAATAACTGTGAATGTTGTTGGTATATTTCCTGCTGGTTCTTCTTACTCCTTCCAATCCTGTACCATTTTAATTTTTTATCATCTTTTACTTTCTCTACATAGTTTTCACAATCTTCTTCTTTAGACCTTTTTCTTTGTGTTTAGACTGATCAGTTAGTTTTACTCAGTAGCTCATACATGACCAGGTTGATCCAATTTATCCAATCAGCAGATTGACATTCAACAGAACAATTATTCACTTGGTTATTTTCTTGCATGTCAGTATAATAATCAAATGGCAATAAAGAAGTAAATAAAGGAATTTTACAAATTGTCAGAAATAGCCTTCAATCCTGTTTTTATTGACCATCAAATGTTATGCATGAATATTCTCTTCCTCAGTTGCAAAACTGCTGGGAAAATTCCTATTTTTTTTCAAGTGTCTTTCCTCTCAGCACCTCTCATGTCAATCTGAATAAAATGAAAACTTTTTTTTTCCCCTTCGGTGCTGGGGATTGAACCCAGGACTTTGCACATACTAGGCAAGTGCTCTCTCACTAAGCTAAATCCCCGACCCCTGAAAATTCTTAATAAATGTCATTGACAGAGTAGCCATCCATTAAGCTTTTAAATCCTATACTGTTTGTTGCCAATTCACCATCTTATTGAAAGGCACAGGAAATTCTAAAAAGCACCTTAAATACCTAATATTATTCACCCAAGTTTCATCTTTGGCAGGAAATGTCAAATTCATGACCTTGATGTTGTGTTTAGTAAACAAGGCTTCCACATTCCTACAGTGGCATTGTTGTCTTTGAGAAGTTTTTGGAAAATATATTCATGATTGTGAAGAAGCAAAAAAAGCTACGTAATATTGAAGTCTTGAAACTGTGTAAGAAATATAATTATTCAACACTTTGTGGTTATATTAGAAAATAACTGTTGTTTGGTAACTAGAAGTGAACCCGAAAATAACTTTTTTATTCTTTAAGGCTTATGTAAAGATCAAGAAGTTCCTCAGGTGTGTTGGATGATTTAAATATTTTGAAACAGTAAACAGACAAAAGTAGCTAAGATGTAACTGTTTCATTTAAAAAACATTTTTTTTTTAGTTGTTGATAGACTTTTATTTTGTGTTATTTATATGCGGTGGTGAGAATCGAACCCAATGCTTCACACATGCCAGGCAAGTGCGCTACCACTGAGCCCTAGCCCCAGCCCTCACTAACTGCTTCATTTTTATGTGTGGTCTTAAAATAACGTCTCCCTCATAAATTGCATATCATGATGTTAAAAACACTCCTTTTAAAAAATTTGTTTTCCTAATGCAATAATGAAGATTTCTGTCTTCACGTAAAACTTTTTTAGAACTTAAAAAAAAAACGCACTATCTCTAACTCATAATTCTAACAACTCTTGTCCCCTGATCCACGAAGAATCTGCTTTATTCAATACTAAGGAATTGCCATTCACTTATTAAAACTGATTTAAAAATAAATGCAAGATGGTTACCTTTATTATTGATATTTTGAAAACACACTCTTGGTTTTGGTTGATAGAGTGGGCCCCCCTAAGGTTGGTACGAATGTTGAAAACAGCCCTTTCTCTCTTTCTCTCGTATGTCATCAGGAGAGTCAAGCTTTAAAAACCTAAGGCAGAATGCAGCTGAGGTGAGGGACCTCGTGTTCTCGTGGGTGATTTGTGTCCTTCCTCTGCCCGTGCACCTATATGAATACACAGCCTTTAATGACGTCTCTTTCAGATTCATTCCTGAATCACCTCGTTGGTTATACTCCCAGGGTCGACTGAGTGAGGCCGAAGAGGCACTCTACCTCATCGCCAGGAGGAACCGCAAGCTCAAGTGCACGTTCTCACTCACGCATCCTGCCAACAGGAGCTACAAGGAGACTGGAAGTTTCCTGGATCTGTTCCGTTACCGAATCCTCTTAGGACACACCCTCATCCTGATGTTCATCTGGTAATGTCACATAAAGGGGTGTTTTGTGGATCTTCGACCCGAGGTTGGGTAATCTGTTCCTTCTTCAGGTTTATAGAAAGCTTTACGTCCTGACAGCAGGAGGTTGTTTTCCCCAAGACAGGACCTGTCCCCCAGCACCTGGTATGTCCCACTCAGCTCTGATTTTGCAGCCCCATCTCTGAAGCAGGAGATGATGGTGCCTGCTGGACATCGTCCTAAATTTGAGTAAATAGAAACACGTCTTTGCTGATGAGGCATTTAATGTGACTATGTAAGCCCCACCCTCAAGAGAAAGAGGGCTGGAGAAAGCCAGCAAGCTCAGCAGAACCTGAAGAGTTCTACCAGCATTTAGCCTACCTGTGATTCCGGCACCAAGGGTTGCAGCAGTGCCCTGGGCCCCATGTTGTGTAGCAGCCCTGCTCACCCCCTCACTGAGGTGGGTGAAATGCTATCCCTTGCGTAGATGGGATCCCAGACAGTGGAAGTGAGGGATCCAAAGCCACATACCAGATCAGTGAACGAGATGATTAGTACTCTGTGCTCCTGATTTTCTGATTCCTTAGCTTATTCCCATCTTAAAATGCTCTCAGTGTTAACGTAAGTTCATTCAGTAGTTGAAGATGGTTCCACTTAAAGAAGGAAGGGTTAGAAAAGCAAAAAGTAGATGGGCACTACCATGTGTGTTTTGCACGTGTGTTTTAATATTGGACATTCTGCCGGAATTTGTTTTAATATTGTATATTCTGCTATAAATTTGACCCTGAACTGGGCATGATTATTTTTTAAATTTTTTTTTTTTTTTAGTTGTAGCTGGACACAATAACTCTTTTTTGTTTATTTAATTTGTTTACATGGTACTGAGAATCAAACCCAGTGCCTCACACATGCTAGGCAAGCGCTCTACCACTGGGCCACAACCCCAGCCCCTGGGCATGATCATCATACATCACAACTAAAGGATGATTGTGCTGTTTATAAGCATTTGCCATGAAGGGTGCATAGAAACCCACATTTTCATGGAAGAATAAAGGAAAGTGACTTTACATAAAAGCAGTTGTGTGTATAAAGCTGAAAAGAAGAGTTGCTTGAGAATAAGAAGCTGAGAAGGTGTTTTTCTGTATACTGATTCTCTTTTCCTACCCAGACACTGACTGCCCCCTGGATGGTCAGGGGCCAGATCCTACCAACTGCTGCCTTCTCCACAGAACCAGCACAGTGTAGGGGTATCACAGATCCATAATGCTGAATGAAAGATATAGCTTAGAAACATGAAAATCAAGAGAACCTTTGAAAACCAAATCTGGTTAAACACCAAATCTGATTTGGTGTTCACTTATTTAAAAGCAAATATTTATGAAGTCTGTTCAAGTTACTTGGGGCTCTACAGAACTCTGCATTTGTAAGTCACGTAGACAGTCAAACCCTCTGCATTGGAGGAAGCCCCTATTTGAAGATGTTTTACTGTTTTTTATTTTTGTTTAAGTTTTTTTTTTTTTTTCTAGTTATATTAACTTCTAGATTCAGGCCTTCGAAAAATTAAAACAAACAGAAACCAAGCTAAGGGACAGGGAGCCTGTCCCGGTTTATTTTATTTCTTTCACAGCCAAAGATACTCTTCTCAAATAAACTTCTTCCCCCTGGGCTCGGAATGTTCAAAGATGCAATAATCGAGCCAATGTCATTTGACATACTGCCATTCTTTTTGAGGATGTTGTAAAATTCAGAAATCTTTTCTGTGCCTCTGTCATTGAAGAAAGCCTTAACTAGGGAGTAAAATTATACCTCTGTGTTTGACATCTGTTCGTTTGCTTATTTCCTGTGATAGTGCCTTTTAAAATGGTTCTTCAATGCCCTAAATATACTGTTAAATATTATGCAAGGATCTTAAATTTTGTTTGGTGCACATAAAGAGGATTGAAATGATTTTAATAGCTGTAATTATGGATCCCAACGACCAAGTCTGCCATGAAGGCAACTTGCATATGAGAGGCCCAGCCTCGGGGACTCGGGGATGATCAGGCCTTTCATACCTCATGTTCTCCTGTTCTCTTTCACTGCCAGCTTGTCACTAAATTCCCCTATTGTCCTGAACTGGTTTTGTTTATTCTTGTTCTGACTCAATACCATCCCCAACTATGGCTAGAATCACTTCACTAGAATTTCTATCTTAAATGCAGTGTAGACACATTAACCCAGACCACCCACAAAGAACATTATGTGAGAGCAAGGTCTCTCCTACGGGTGGGAAGCATTTAAAGGGTATTTTAGAAAACTGCATGGATTTAAATTTGTTTAGCCTTTTGCTCACATGCGCGATGCCCAGAGTAAAAGGAAAGTGGGTAAATGAGTGTCCCTTTGCATCTGCTTCTGTGATGTCCTGGCTACAGGACTGCTCATCTGCCTTCATGCATAAGGGAGAGGGGCAGGGTGCACTTGCTCCCGGGCTTCCTCTCTCCCTTCCTCCCCAGCCTTTTCTCCTTATATTTACCACAGCCTAGTAATAGGCCAGGGCACTTGGCCCCTTTCTCTGTTTTATTGCTTACGTAGCAATTTATGGTTTACAAAATATATTCAGATACTAGTAAAGCCCAGTTTCAGTTTTTTTTAAAATTTGTTCTTCTGTTTTATTTTTATTTTAATATGCAGTTTGCTAGGCACAAAAGTTCCTGTTACCATCTTTGCTATTTGGAGCTTCAGGTTGGCACTCTGATTGGCCAAACTCCCTAGCTTTTTAGTTCCCAACTTCAGGGATACACTTGGTGCCTAGCACAATGCCTGCCATCTAAGGAGATATTCCCTAAGTGTGTGTTTCAGAAATGATATGCATCAATAAATTAGTAGCTTTTCAAAGGGCTCTTCCCCAGTTGATCCTTCTGGAGAATCCTGCCTCTGCTGTGACCCCTGAGTTTTCTTGCCTGTTCTGAGTCTATAGCATGTGCACCTGCTGAATGCAAGAAGAGTTAATACCCGGGGTTGGAAATTCCTATATCCCAGTGGGGTGGAGTGCCTGATATTTCTGGCCTACAGGTGACCCACTGAAAACCCATCACTTCTCAGTTTATGCTCTCCAACCATCCTTTGTTGATTTTTCTCCATGGGAAGACTTTTCCAGAGTCATTCTGATAATATCACAAAACCAGCCTTAGGCAAGTGTTCCATACATTGTTGAATTAAATGAAGGAAGAATGGGGTCATTGTTTTCTACTCAATGCAAAAATGCTTGAGAAAGCACAAACAATATCTTTTCTCTTGCAGGAGCTAGGCCTCTATTTGCTTTATATAGTATATAGACATAAATCATTTCCAAAGCCACATCATGTTTTTGTTCTTTCCTAAGATAGAAATTTACCATGAAGACAGAAAGCTTTGCAGGAGAGTCAATCTTTTGGTGTGCAGCAGTTTGCATTATATTGAACCAATTCTATTTTAATCTTCTCCAGCAAACTTTGACATGTTTTCTGTTGTCTTGTCTTTTCACTTTCCTGGTCCTTTGACACCCGCCCCCCCCCTCAAACTGCAGGTTCGTATGCAGCTTGGTGTATTATGGCCTCACTCTGAGCGCAGGTGATCTAGGTGGAAGTATTTATGCCAACCTGGCTCTGTCTGGCCTCATAGAGATTCCATCCTATCCTCTGTGCATCTACTTGATTAACCAAAAATGGTGAGTATGGATGAACATGAAGTGCACCATAGAGAAGGTGCATGGGTGGCACACTGACTTGCTTATATACATACATACCTAGATATTATCATTTTTTTCTCTGTAGATAGTATCTGCTAATCACTGTGGTGATTAAAGTTTCTTTCAGGCCAAATGCATTTAGAATACGTTTTTTTTGGTGCAATACTTCTTTAGATTCAAATGTGTGAGTTTTTATATAAGACTTTAATGCATTATTGAAGACACCATAAGATGAGGGATTTTAGTAGTCTCTAAGTACATTGTTAGGCCTAAGAGATGGGGTTATCAATATAGCTAGAATTTCATCAACCCAATTCATAGTATTTATAAGGTTTTGTAAGTAGGAAGAAAAGTGAGGGAACTACAAAGAATTTTTCTTACCTCTTAAGACCCACTTTGTTGAGAGGAAGAATAAATACCATCCTGCTCTTGCTACTTATGGTCAGTGGGCACAACTTTGAAATATATTTAAAAAGTTATTATGGAGCTCCCCTTTCCTTGGGTTTTGGAAGATAATTCCTATTATTTAGCCCCTGACCATAGCAACTAGAACCCTTTTTTTTTGTTTGACCTAGGGATCATTTGGATGGTACCATTTCTCATTCTCTGGAAATTATCATTGTAACTAAAATCGGGGGTTGGCGTGGCCCCGATGCTGTTGTCATGATGTCTACAAAACTGTGAAGGGCAGGTCTGGGTCTGTTCAGTTGGACCCTTTTCTCACAGGCAGCATTCTAGATACCTGGGCTACTTCCTACTGGTGACTGCAGCTTACTCTCATGGTGGTCCAGGAGGCAGATCAGAGAGCATGCTGGGGAGTCTTTCCCTAGCACCCCCCTGTGCTGCTGTAGCTTCCTGTGCATGCCTAGCAACCACTGAGTGTTACCAGGAAGCTGTCCATGGGCATGTCCTGTGTCTTTGCAATCCCTAGGGCCTGTCATGGTACATGTCACTTGAAAGACACTCAGTACTGGCTGTTACATTAAGCAAAATGACGGAGAAAAGAAGACTAAAGACCCTTCCAATTTCCCAGCAACTTCCACCCAGAGCCAGGATTTAAATCTGAAGCCAAGGGAAGGATGCTGCCTTTGGGGTCAGGCAGACCCAAATTCAAGGCAAGGCTTCACCAACTGTTAGCTTTATGACTTTGGCAAGTTTCCCTCACTGAGCCCCCACTGTATTCATTCTCAAATGAGGTATTATCAAATCCCCCTGGAACACTGTTATCAAAATTACAACGTTGACATTCTTAGCAGGGTACCCAGTATGTTCTAAGTAAATCCCCCACATTCTGGTCAGGAATTTATACAATGCTCCTAGATGCATATTCCCTTTTTACCTCTATAGGAAAGGTAGCCAAAGTTCAGATCCATTGAAGTTAGTTTTAGAAACATGATGTGATTTGTCTACTAGATAATTATTCACTAGATAATGGATTTGTGGTGTGAAACAAACAGATAACGGAGGAGCCAGAGATTACAACAGACTCTTCTAATGAACTTGGAGTTTATGGCATTAAAATTAAAAAACAAACAAACAACAAAAAAAAAACCCTCACATTTTCACTGTCTTTCCAGAAATGAATAAAGTAAGAGGAGAAAGGTGAAATTTTTTATAAATAAAGGCCATTCAATAAGTAGAGTTAATAGATCTACAACCCACAGCCTAAACAAATAGCCACATTTAAAAATCTAATTTTGATTCTTATGTACCTACAACAATTGACTTTGTTTAGGTATCTATTTTCTGCTTAATCGCTCTCTCTCCCTCTCTCTCTCTCTGACACTATGTGTGTTCTGTGTGTAAAATATGTCAGCTCATCTGTCTATTTTTAATTTAGACAAAAAACATGGTGAAGGAAGATCAGTAGCGAAAAGAAACCATGAGAGAGAAGAGGGAAGGGAATGGGAAAATACTAGGGAATGATATTGGCCAAGTTACATTGGTATACTGTGTGCATGGACCACTACATAACAATAAATCCCACCATTATGCCTAACTATGGTGCGACAATAAAAAATATGGGGAAAAAAAAAGAAAAGGACGGCATAATATCTTACTTCCAAGACTAAAGCTCTTATTTGAAAGTGATTTTAAGGTGTTCATTACATTTCACTTAATTCTAACCCACGAACAAGACTTTTTTTTTTTCATTTGCATTTTGAAGAGAAAGAGACTTTTCAAAACATTGTTTAAAATTGTTACTTAAATTTAAGATTCAGGTAACCAGAAAATGAAACGAAATAAAAACATTTCGTTTTCTTTTTCAGTTTCATTCTCTAGAGGATGAAGAATGTAATTGTGTGCCTATGGTTTTATTACTGGGATTATATAAGATACTATGTGGAGAACATTTAAAATAGCACCTAGAATATAGTAGACACTCGTGGAAATAGAATGATTGTATGTCCTTCCTGTTCTGTGTCCCCAGCAGACTCACATTTGCCACCTATTCCTTTAAAAGAGTTGAAACTGAGGACATTTAGATAGGAAAATTGGGAGGAAGGAGCAGATGGATTTATAAGATTCTTAAGAGAAATGTGTGATTTTTCTATTATTTAGGTTTGGTCGGAAACGGACATTAGCAACATTTCTGTGCCTAGGAGGACTGGCTTGTCTTATTGTAATGTTTCTTCCAGAAAAGAAAGGTATGCCTTTCAAATTTCTACAAGGGTTTTGAACAGCACTTTTATTACAATGAATCTCAATATAGTAGAGAGATTACCATATGCCATGCTTCATTTCTGTGATTGCATATTATTTAGCAATTGTGTAGGGTATAATGGGCCAGATTCTTTCCATTCCCTAAACTATTCTCTGGGTGAATAATGTGCTTAGAGGTGCACTATTAATTCTCTCAGGCTATTAAGCTACCATCTGGGGTGTCTGGGATGCAGTACTGGTGATGTTAGAGTTGTTTATTTGATGAGGAGGAGGACCGGTTAGTTCTGCACAGAAAGAAACTCCATCCAAGGCTGCAAATTACACTCACTCCAGCCAGTCCCGAGACTGGAGATTGAAGACAACAGTTCTCAAAGGTGGCTTTGATTTCTCAGTTTCTCTATCAGTATACCCCAATAATGATAACAACACAACAACCCCAAGAGTAATAGTCCCTGTTGGTCACAATGAATATGCTCTTGGTCTTTTGTGAAGGGTGCATATGACACCTTCAGGACCCTGTTGTATTTTCTATATTCATAGCTTTGCTATGCAGACACAACTGCAAAAAAAAAATGTCCCTTCTTCATCTAACCTGATTACTGCCTCGATATAGAAATTCTGTGGATACTGCAGATTTTTTTTCTTTCTTTTGTCTTTTTTTAGGCTGGGAATGGGGTGGGGGCAGCTTGCACACCTGAGGCATGCCAGTTACTGGGAACTGTGGTTTTAGCTGCAGTTTTCCATAAGTACTAATGGGTCCCAACAACTCTCTTTTATGGTGCTTTATGGTTTGGGGGGCTTTTGGATTTTGATAGGGCTATATTCTGGAGCTTGGACTCCAGCTAGGAATGATTATGAGATGGTTTGACAGAAAGTTTCGACAGCTACTGGAAGTGCATGGAGAAGTCATGTCACCATCAGAGCCTATCATGTATAAAATGCTCCTTTTGTAAATTGCTTCTTCTTGAACTCGGGTTGTGCTGTTGTCTCACAGAGAGGCCTGTGAAGCTGCCTCTTCTCCTTGTTCTCTGTTCCTACTCTGCTCTAGGTCACCCCTGGAAGGTCTGAGCCTTGATCCAGAGTGCAGGTTGTTTGGGATTTTATGCAGTGTTTAGAGCAGCCTAACAGTGGTTTTCATGAAATCAAGGAAACTAGAGAATTCAGCAATTTTGCCCATTTCTTAACATCCAGCCAAACCAGTGCCTCTGTCCGTGTCAGGTTGAGGGGACACTCTTCAGCCCTGCTGGGGGCTGTCAGAACTAGGTGCCCTGTTCTGTTTATTTAGGGCAAGAAGTGAGGGGTTTCAAATCACTGTGGCCTTCTGCTCAGCAGTTTGTTTGCGGGAGGTACCTTGGGAACTCAGTTGTCTCAGACCTGCAGCAGCCTGGTGTTCCATTTATCACTTCATAGAGGAAAACATTTCGTTGTTAGTGTAAACACACCTGTAACCGTCACATTCCCAAGAGCCAAGCCAGTCAATGTCTTTCTCCCTCCCACTTCTTTGCACTCTGTAGGTAATCCACCCTCTAGGACGGGCCCTTTCTTGAAATTATCTCTTATTTTAAATAACAAAACAAAAATCCAAGGTGAAGGCAGATGGCTAGTCTCCCCTCTCTGCTCCAGTCTTGTTTTAAGAAAGCCACGTGAACCCTCTGTTGGTCACACCCCTTGGTGGACACCGAGTGAGAAACAGTGTAGCAGAGTGTCTTTTGCGGGCTATTCAGGTGCCGCAGGAATAGGATACCTCTATTATACTCAGGAAAAGTGGATATCCAGTCTATTTTTGAAGATTTTTCTGGGGAAGAAATTCTGTAATGTCCCTTATTGAATTATTTCTATTTTTAATAACCATTACTGTTAAGATCATCCTCTTCCACTACACTTGAGCCCATTTCCTTTCACTTGATTCATCACTGGAGATGCAGAACAGATGGTCACCTTTTTTTTTTTTTTTCCTGCATAATCCTTTCTTTATTTGCAGAGTCCTCTAGCTAGGCCTGAATCTTCTTTGAGCTAAAAAAAAATTTTTTTTCTTTAAGCTTTCTTTAAATCATTCCTATTTACTCTTGAAAATATGCAGTCTGCTATCTTTTAATCTGTCTTTTTAAAGTTTTAGCTACATGTTCTGAAAATTTTGATAAATACATATGATGAAAAAGAGTCAGCAGTTTTGGGGGCTGGAGTTATAGCTCAGTGGTAGAGGGCTTGCCCCTCATGCGGGAGGCCCTGGGTTCGATCCTCAGCAGGTTTAGCACTTTTAACAGTTCTGTTAACCAGTTTTAACAGTTCTGTTAGCGTCTTCTGTGACTGGGAGACATTGATTTTTCTCATTGCTTTTTCCCAGTGCTCATTTACCCTCACTTTTCCCCACCAAATATGCCTGCATTCTCTCTTTTCTGCCAACTCAGCCTTCTCTGTCAATCAGCTTCTTTTCAGCGGGTGTGCATGATGGTGGTACTGTATGTCCAAGGCATTTGTGGATTCAGTGACAGTATATCTGCAGGGGAGACAATTAGTGAGCTAAAAGGTAAATTGTCTGGCATTTCGAGAACTGTGGTTCATAATGACAAGGTGCTCATCCCTAATCCAAACATTTGAAGTTTGAAATGCTCCAGAATCTGACACTTTTGAGGACCGACATAATGCCACAAGTGGAAAATTCCACACTGACCTCTTTGTAATGAGCAGTGTTCGAAATACATACGATTTTTATAAAAATATTGTATAAAATTATCTTCAGGGTATATGTATAAGATGTATATGAAACACAAAACTTGGGTCCATGCCGCAGTCTGGCTGGGCACAAAATCACGAGCCACTCAAGCAGGAACGAACTTTATTTCCAAAACTTACACGAACACCACGCACTCGGCCTTCTCCCGGGCCACACCACACCAACCAGAAATCCCTCCTCCGGAAATCCCTCCTACCGCACTTCCCCAACCAATAGGAACTCTCCGGGAGTCATCCATGTGTGTGTGTGTGTGTGGGGGCTCCCAAGAGCTCCAAAGTAGCAGGCCAAAGTAGCAGGCCAAGGCGGACAGCAGGGGTCTAATATCCAGTTGAATGCACATATTAACATAATCATTATCATCTCAGTGGCTTGCTGGTGTCACCTTTCAACCAAAAATGCCATGCATCATTCCTACTAGGCTATGGCTCTTAGCAGGTCTATCTCCAAGATATCTCATTATGCACATGTAAATATTCCAAAATCAATTAAAAAACAACAACCTTGAAATACTTCTGGTTCCAAGCATTTCAGATAAGGGATGCTCAGCCTATATTAGTCAAGTTCCTTACCAGGTATGTACTTGCATATTGATTTAGCCTCCAAATAAATGTTCTTGTCTAGGAATAATGTTAGCTAATATTAGCAGGTAGTCACTAATTTTTTTTTTCCCACAGATAGGTCAGCAGATATTTTACCTGATCTGTGTTCTTCTTTGGAGGATCCTGAGTGTGTTAGCTTTCTGTTGCTGTGGAAAAATAGGAAGGAAGGAAGGAAGGAAGGAAGGAAGGAAGGAAGGAAGGAAGGAAGGAAGGAAGGAAGGGGGGAGGAAGAGGGGGAAATAAAAGAAAAAACAAAATGAGAAAAACAATTTAAAAGGAGGAAAGATTTATTTTCACTCAGGGTTTCAGAGATTTCCATCATGGTCACTTGGTTCTATGACTTTGGACCTGAGATAAGGCTAAACATCATGGCAGAGAGTACGTAGTGGATCCAAGCTTTTCACCTCATGGCTATTGGAAGAGAGAGAGGCAGACAGACAGACAGACAGACAGACAGACAGAAAAGGGGCTGGGAACAAGACATATCCTTCAGGGTCCCCAGTGTTCTACTTCCTTCAACTAGGGCCCAGTCCTAAAGTCTCTACCGACTCCCAACAGTGCTGCCAGCTGGGAACCAAGCTTTCCATGCATGGCATTTTTTTGGGGGGGCATTCCAGATCCAAACTAGAACATTCTACCCCGTCCCCAAATTTCATGCTTATCTCACCATGCAAACTGCCTTGGGTCCACCTTCAAGGGTTCCTCATAGTCATCAAAATGGTAGCATTGCTCAGAAGTCCAAGTCCAGTCTCCTCTGAGACTGGAGATGAACTCCTAGCTGTGAGTCCTTGTAAAAATCAAAAAAAACAATTTTTTTTTCACAGTGCTGGGGATTGAACCCAGGGCCTTATGTATGCAAGCAAGCACTCTACCAACTGAGCCGTGAGTGTGTGTGTGTGTGTGTGTGTGTGTGTGTGTGTGTATTCTTTTATTTGCTGTATATAATATATTCTCTGAAAAGAAAGTTCTAAAATGACTATGTACATTATATATAATAATTTGCTTTTGATAATTGGGATAAGGTAGATAAACGATCTACAAGGTCCTTTCTTATTATATTTAAGTGCTATTAAAAACAATGTGTTTGAGAAACTCTGCCCTCCAGCCTAGCTAGATTCACATCCAGGTTTTTGTAGGAGCAATTGTTGATGGCATCTGTGGGCAAGAAAAGACATGGTGGGGAGGCCCTGGTTCAGCCATCTCTCAGGTGAGGTCTCCTGCAGTTTGTGGCTCCAGAGCCTGTTCTCCAGCTGGAGGGGATTCCATCTTCCTGGGAGGTGGGACAACTCCTGGGGGCTCCTGGAGTTTACCAGGTAAGCCCTGGATATTTTCTGTTTTCCTGAATTCTTGCCTTAGTAACAAATAGCTACTACCCTCAAGGCTTTTAAATAACATCATATTTCTCATGGAAAATAATAAAACACTATGATTAATGACAAAAAATATTAAAAAGCAAGTTAAATACTTTCAATATGCAATCATGGGACGGGCACAGGATCAACTTCTCATTCTTACAGGGAAGAACAGTGGAGTAGAGAGGAGGGGGGGCACCAAAGCGAGACTGAAACCCCAGCAGGGCAAGCATTAAGTCCTGTAGCTCTGGGTCCAATATCTGGGGCACACAGTAGAGAGATATGGACCCCAACAGTCT